GAGCGCTCGCCTTGAGCTGAAGAGCTGAGGGACAGCGCCCAGGCCCAGAGTTCAAGCCCCACGACCGACAAAATAAATAAATAAATAAAATAAAATTGCCTCCTTGTCATTTCTGTTTTAGTTAATAAATGATTCCCCATGCCAGGTACCAGGAGTCAGAGATCTGTGGATATAAGTTTGAAGCCTGGGCAGGAAAGTCTAAGGGATTGTCATCTCCAGTGAATTACCCAGAAGCTAGAAGGAGAGGTGTGGCTAAAGTGGTAGAACACCAGCCAGTTCAGAGGGGCTGGGAAGGTGGCTCAGTGGTAGAGTGCTTGTCATCTCCCACTGCTACCTCCCTGCCTCAGGAGTGGATGAAGTACAATGCTCAAACTCCTTCAGACTAAGTGGATACTGTTAATTGGGATCTGAGCACTTAAAAAAAAAGGGGGTGGGAAGGTGGCTCAGTGGTAAGAGTGCTTGCCTTGCATGCATGAGGCCTTGGGTTCAATTCCTCAGTACCACATAAGCAGAAAAAAAAAAGCCGGAAGTAGCACTGTGGCTCTAGTGGTAGAGCTCTAGCCTTGAGCTGAAGAGCTTAGGGGCAGTGCCCAGGACCAGAGTTCAGGCCCCACAACTGACCAAAACAAAGACTAGGATGTAGTTCAGTGGCAAAGCACTTGCCACTGTACAAATACAACATGTAGGGTTCAACCCCTATTACCAGGAAAGAAAAAACAAAACAAAATACATTAAAAAAAAAAAAGCTCCAGGCTAAGTTCTGATTGGCTTACATTTGTAATACACACACACACACACACACACACACACACAAGGAAGAATAACAATCACTTACGGACACATAATAAGTAATGGTGGAATTGGGATGTGACTCCTAAGAACTCTTGCAACTCTTCAAGCCAAGGACTTGCCCTTCACTGCCCTTGCTTCTGTGAGAAGGGAAAGCCGGCACATACCTGTGCACAGGAGGACTTTGCCCCGTGTCAGGTACTGGATGGTTTCTGAGGTCTTCTTGAGGCACTCTTCAGAAAGATATGGAGGATCCGCCACAACAATATCAAAACTGTGTGCAGCAATTTTTTCAGGCAAATCCAGTGGATGATTATAATCATAGAAGATAAATTCCTCCCCATACATGGCAAATCTTCTGTCGTATTCAAAGATATACACAGAGAAGTCTTGTCTGTGCAGTGCTCTGAGTTTCTGGTACACGCTGGGTGCACTCACACAGGCTATTCTAGAATACAGAATGCATGCAGTGTGAAAGATAGTTAATGATGCTAGACAATGACTTCATGTGAATATGCCAAAATGCCTGTGCTCAGACCTTAAAGAAAGGAACAGCACTGGGTGCTGTAATCCTAGCTATTCAGCAGGCTGACATCTGAGGATCCTGATTTGAATCTGTGACACTCTTATCTCCAACTGCCAAAAAAATACCACAAATGGAGCTGTGGCGCAAGTGGTAGAGTACTAGCCTTGAGCACAAAAGCCAGGGACACTGTCTAGGCCCTGAGTTCAAGTCCCAGTATGGGCACTTAAAAAAAAAGGAACAACTCAAGCTCATAATCAGTAAAGTTGTTTTTTTGTTTTGTTTTGTTTTTTGTTTTTTTGGTCATGGGGCTTGAACTCTGGGCCTGGGCACTGTTCTTCAGCTCTTCAGAACAAGGTAAGCACTCTACCACTTGAGCCACAGCTCCACTTCTGGTTTTCTGGTGGTTTATTGGAGATAAGAGTCTCATAGACTTTTCCTGCCAGGGCTGGCTTTGAACCATGATCCTCAGCTCTCAGCTTCCTGAGTAGTTAAGATTACAGGCCTGAGCCACAGCACCCAGCATAATCAGTAAACTTTTAAGAGGAAATTTTATATGGCCTCACTTGTAAGGAATTTGCTATTTAAAAAATATGTAGCTCATAACTTTGAGGTATGAAAAAATAAATATAATTTTGCAGGGGAAAAAAACATTAAAAGCATCAGGAACATATTATGACAAAAGTTAAGATATATATGACCCAAAGCCCAAATTCACCTATTATTTTCATGTTTAATCTTTAATATTTACTTCAAATACTCAAACTAATTGTTTTTGAATTCATTTTGTAACATTCATGATCCCAAACATTCAAAGACTCCAAGTAACTTCCTAAATGATTCAACTTATCCAAAAAGATAACAGTGGGATTTGATCTTGCTACTGACAAGCTGCTATGAATGGTGTGTATATGTGTGGTACTGAACCCAGAGTGTTACACTACCACTGAGTTATATCCCAGCCTAACTAATCTGTGTTTATTTCAGGCAGTCCACAGATTATGAATGGGTGATGTCCAAGAGTTAGCTTTTATTTTTTTTATTTTTTTGGGGGGGGTCCGGTCGTGGAGCCTGAACTCTGGGCCTGGGCGCTGTCCCTCAGCTCTTCAGCTCAAGGCTAGTGCTCTACCACTTGAGCCACAGCGCCACTTCCGGCTTTTTTCT